AACTTAAAACGGAGCATTATTCGTCCGAGTATAATCGTACTCAATTGTTTGGAAGTGACCCTGAGAAGATGAGGATCGAAAAAAATGCAACGATAAATGACAAATCATTTTTCCCGCTCCTATGTTTTTTAGATCTACAGCGATAGTACAATCACACTGTTCAAGACTGATTGAACCCATGCGACAGCTCCAGAATAAATTCATCAAGGAGTTGAACCACCTGACCAGTATACATATACGAGATGACGTGAATCCCGAAAGGAATCATTCATTTAGAGTCATCACTTTTTCATTCCATTGATTCACGGTCACCAGGAGAAGAGGAAGCTCCAGCTGTATTATGCTAGTGATAATGACCATCTCGTGGCTGTTCCAGCGTAAAATGTGATTAGAAATCTCTTCCTCATCTCGAGGAAGCAAGGGTTCAGGAAGAAATACCAGAAATACCAGGATGAAAAACCATAAGTTCCAGGAATATATGAGGAAGATTTTTCAGGACGGTGAAACCGAGTGTGAAATAATACAGTGCAAGCAATGCAGTATGCACAGCGTAAAAATCATTTTCTGCCGAATTTGTTAGACTTTCAAAGATCGGTGGGTCTGGTGAAACATCTCCAAAAATTGTTTCGATCGATAGAAAATTAATTTTCTTCCGTGATCATCTCTCGTAATATTCCGGAATTCTCAATCGCTTCCATAGTTTTCGACCCCCAGCAGCCGATCCTGGCTTCGTCCAGTTCGAAATCATTCATGTGCATCTCATTTCACCCAGTTTGCTTTATTTCTTTCCAATACCTCTACGGTGAGAATATATGAACTTCAAGAAATATAAAATTTCAATTGATCTAGAAGCATATCCCTAGTATATTCCAATCCATGTCATTGAGGCACTCTTTCATTATTCTGAAAAACAATTTTTTTCTATAAAATAAGCGTCCATATCGGAATACAATCTATCTGATTTTAGGCATCGGATAAGCAACGGCACTTTCCCTCTTTGGGTTGATTGGCTAGTAATTTCCCTACTAATAAGATTCTGACACAAAGATTGAATTCATCATTCGATTCGACATCATCATTTCTATTCTGAAGGCATGTATTGGTGATTATAACTCGGAGGAATTCTTTGGTATTTTCAGTCACACAATTCTATTCTTTGGATTTAGATCTTTTCATAATTTTTATAATATGATAGAAAGTGATGGCTTTTGATTTTTTTATCATTGTAGATCTGTTGATAGTTTTTACATTTTTGAAAAGAAGGAAAGTCAGAGAAGAAAAAATACAGTGGAAAGAAACTTAGCAAATTCGTGGTCGGGAGTTTTTATAGATAAAATATCAACGGAATAGAAATATCGGTGGAATAAAAATAGCATATGTCACTTTTTTTAATACAATATTTTGACAAATATATCTATAACATTTACTTGAACTAGCTATCGATTTTCAGCGGAAACCAATCGAAGAAAAATGGCATCTTTCTCTTCAATAGTATTTCACTAGTCTCGATGGAATTACCTAAAGGGCATGATTAAATTTTTTGAAGCAGCATCAGATCAACTAACTAATTAAGAAATGATTAAAAATTGTGCTACGATCTTGTAGTTGATTGGTTTCGACAGAAAGGGTTTTAATGGAAAATATTACGAGATATTTTTCCTCAATGAGAGAATTTTCAACAGGAGAACATTGAGCATTTATTCTTAATCGCTGATACAAAGTAATTAAACTTGTAAACAATAGATCATTATAGTTGGTGGATCATTATCAGTTAAAAAAATGAACGGATGAATTTGGTGTTCGGCCACCTTTGACCACCACAGGATTCTACACATAAATTCATATGTTGAATTTTTCAAAAAGATGCATCCCTCCCGCTGGCTGCAGGTGAAATTTTTGATTATTTATAATTAATTGATTTTTACCACTAAAAAACTAAAAGTGGACTACCTTTGACCACCTTCGAACCACCAAGCAATTGCAATAATCCAAATTTACATTCCCCCCTACCCTCCGCTAGCTATAAGTAGCTCCTTTACTCGCGCTAAGAGAGAATCTCTAGCGCCCTGCCCACACACCAGTTAGACAGAGAAGTCCAAGCTATTCATGGGACTGCTTTCGTTGCCGCATATCACCGAACGCCTCACGGAACCGCTTAATGCGAGCGAGCCACACGATCGACTTTACTCGCACCGGGAGTGAATCTCACACGCTCCTCGTCCACGCTCGATAAAATATTTTTATATAATTTATTGAAACATGCTAGGCGATTTTTATTCACCCTAGAGGAAAGAGGGATAGTTACTTAAAGCAATCAAAATTTTCAGTCCAAAATCTCAAGTTTTGGACTATGTTCCCTATGCAGTAGAGTCACCCTAACTTCACCACCTCGGGGCTACAAATTCCACGAAATGAGCAGTTGCAGACATCCACACTCTATCGCTAGAGGGGCGTAGTCCAAGTAGAGTTAGAGTGAGAGGTAATGGGACATACGGAGCACGAAAAACGTGCGGGAGCAGAAACTGTTTACTCCGCATTCACTCAGCGCAGAGAAATACACACAGCACTCACATACGTTTGGGGTGCTCAGAGTGAGGGAACACTTGCTCCGCTGTCGCTGATCGCCGAGAAGTTGGAGGGGTAGAGAAGTTAGGGAGACTCTACTGTACCCTGAAAATTTTTGCAAGGGAACATCATATCGCGCGAGTGCTGACGGGTTAAGTGGACCAAACAGCATAGAATTCGCGGTTTCTTGATTTTAGGGACATAAATACACGAATGCGTACCTAGAGAGAAAAACAGAACATCAAGGCCCCCGTGTTTACCACGTTATTCACACGCGGCTGAAAATGTTCTGTTTTTCCTTGATCCACAATATATTATTCTATGCATATATAACCCAAAAAATGAAGACATTATCGATAATTTTGAAACCGAATGCGTGTAGAGGATTCAGTGGTTTCATCCATATACGAAAATAATTTGAGAAGCCGCAGAATAATTTTCAGAACTGATAAAGAAAATTATTACGGAGCTATCAAGACCCAAGGTCAGCAGCATCATGAAGAAGATCAGCGCCCAAAAAATGGATCCCGGCATCGTAGCGATTGCTGCCGGATAAACGATGAAAACAAGTCCTGGACCCTCGGTTGCAACTTCTTTGATTGGTCTACCACTTGCATGTGCCATGTACCCCAGTACCGAGAAGATGACGAATCCAGCGACGAAAGAAGTCGCACTGTTGATGACACTGGTTAACAGAGCATCTCTGAAAATCATTAATAGAAAAGAATTAATGCTCCCACTCTTGCTCATACGAATCTCATACGAAGAATTCCGAGGAAAATTCATGTGCTGAGCACTAGAAACGAGGCACAACTGACTCCGACCGGAGTTATTCTATGGGAGCAGCGGAAAATTCTGAATCCGCGTGAGCATTATTCAACCACCCCCATGAATTTTTAAAAGAAATCACCAGAAAAATTCTACGACGGCAGAGGATAAATTTTTCAGTAGCACATGACAATCTGTGGGTCCTTATATTTTTTCGTTGATTCTCAGGGAAATTGATGCTAGTGCTTGCATTGAATCTAAGAATAAGGGAGCTTAAATAGTATATTTCGCATCGAATGCCACTGGGGTACCAGACGCGAACGAAAGTTTTCCGTAGTGACTTCCACTTTTGCCAGTTCGGGAAAGGGTCAATACCAATCCCCGGAGTGGGAAAAGTGGAGGTCAGTACGGAAAAAATTTTATTATGCCAACACTGAATTTCTCCTGTGTTCTTCGTACATTAATGCCTCGGCCAGGATCGGAAGCCGTCGTACGAGCTCGTCGATATTCGGGCATTTTCGCGATTCGCACGCACGTACATTTTTTACGTTCCTCACGATTTTGCGCAACGTTTATACGTATATCAAAGCTACAGGGAGTATTCATCCCATCCATGAGAATTATTGTGATAAGTTGTATAAAAGAGATAGCACCATAAAAAGTTCTAGAAATTTCTGGAGATTTCCCGAATTTTTTGGGATTTCTAGAAACTTCTCAATAATTTTCCGCACTTTCTATAGAATTATGAGAACTTCCTCCCCCGCATCCGTGGCACCAAATAATTAGAGAACAAATTTTTTTTTATTAGAAAAAATTACGTTATTGTAAAGTTTCCTGTGGGCTAATTTTCAAATCTCTTCTCTTTTTAGGAATTTATTCAAATTTATAAATTAATTCAAAATTTCGATAGCAGAACTTTTTCCATTAATGTAGTAAATTTTCATTTTACGCGATCGTTTGCATGATTTCCGAAACTATGTGCCTCGATTGTAGGATAACACCAAAATTTTTCTCAGACTTTCACTACAAAAATTCTAATATTTTTCTCTCCGCGTACTCTGGCAAAGTTAGAATCACTTTCTCTTTAAATTATGTCCTAGATAAAAAAAATATTTTCTGTACTATTCCTCACGATCCCTCGTCTGGAAATTGGTATTGCATGCTTTCCAAACTCGCCAACCTGAAAATCACAACAAAAAAATCTTGTCCCGGACATTTGCGATAACATAGTTTTTACTCGTGTGACTCGCCTTCGGCTCGAATGCCAACTCCACACGAATAGAAAACCCCATCGCGACAACCCGGAAAAATACTATCTCCGGAATGCTTTCTAGCAGTGAAGTTTGCATATACTCCTATATTACCTTTTCTAAACACACTCACAGTCCGTGAAAAATTTACGACATCATTGTATCGACTTTAAGGCACTCGTCAGGTTTTCATCAGTTCAAAAAATTGAATACAATGAATATTATAATAAATCATAAATTATAATAAATAATTACCAATAAATACGTAGATACATTGTGTTGTTATTACATTATTATGATTCTGCTTACTTGTAAACATTATTGTGGTACTCATTGTAACTGGCATAGGCCAACAGCACTCCGAATCCAGGACCCAAGGAAAAAAATACTTGCGTTGCAGCGTCGACCCACACCTGGTGAAATAAATGACAAGAAACGAAAAAGTTAAGTTTCTAATCTATGGTCAGTTCATGAATGCGAATCACGTAGGGGCTCAGGGAGCGAGCGACTCCAAGCACTCAATATAATGCTCGTTAGAGCTTAACACAGATTTTCCATTTACGAGAGTTATTTTCCCGCAATTTTTCTTCCTACGGATTCTACTTACCCCTTCGTGAATTGCAATACCGCGCACTATTTCATTTAAGACAGAACAATGGTTTTTATCACTTCAACATCAGTGAGGGATTTACACAAAGTATTGAAATGCCGCAGGTAATTACTTCTATATTCTTTCTGACTGCGAGTAAAATGATTGCGAGTATAAATGTTGGCAATATATTTTTTCAATGCGGGAACGAAATGGAACACTATAATTTTACCGAAGGATTTCAAATTTTTCATGACTTAAAAATGATGGAAAATTTTGCACTAACATGTTCCCTTAGTTACACTGAAATAGTATATTTTAGGCTGGATATAAAGAAAATATCCTTTGGCCAACAAAAGAAAAAAATTACGTTGGCCAAGTATATTTACTAACTACAAGAAAGTTTACTCACGTCTTACGCAAATATTTATATACATTTACTTGTGGCAAGTAAATATACTTGGCAACAGCAATTTTTGTTCTCAGTAAAGGCACATAGGGGAGAGCGATACCACAAACTCCCCTGTGAAGATTGAGGCTCATTCTCATGACTAGAAGGGAGTTTTTAAAAATAACGTATTCTGATTGTCCCAATCAACGACCATGATTCTGAAAATTTTTTCAATCAGCAAAATTTTTGCAATCTAGATAATTTGTGGATGTCCGCATGAAAACAGACCATTATTGAATTGTTTTTTTCATCTTCTCCATCTCGCCTTATTTCGTAAATTATCCAATCTCCTCTTCAAAATTACTTGAATTATTATAATCCTTTAAGGTTTTGTGGTAGCCAATCAAAGAGAAGATTGTGATCAGAATAGACTTGATCCTAGAAATCTGTTTTTCCCTGAGTGTATTTACATGACGTGACGTGAGCAATACTTTTGAGAATGGCGTTGTTGGGACTAGCGATTGAAATATATATTTTCGCCGCACTATGCGTAAAATGAAATTTTATGGTCACTTCGTGTCCCTCGACACAACAGTGTAAAGAAAAATTTGCTTCGTGAATCAACCGAAAAAATTCTTTTGAGTAGTGATTGCAGTCCAATTCGCGGCTTCGCCTCGACCTTCACACTCGTCAAAAATTAGTACATTTCGTCATTAGGCCGAAAGAGTATATTTTGTCATTCTGGCCGTAAGGCAGCGATTTACGGACGCGTAGCCACAGCCTACGGTCGTTATGACAAAATCGTATATTTCGATCCGAGTGAGACAAAATTTTTACAAGTGTGAAGTTGGCGGCCCGAGGCTTCGCCGAGCTGAAAATTCCCGTCTCACATGTATCGACCAATATTTTTTGACAGTCATGTTACGTTCAGCGAGTGGCCGAACTGTGCCTTTTTCATTTAGCAGTAAGCGAAAAGACTTTTCGTTTACGAGTGAACGAAAAGGCATTTTTCGGCGCGAAAAACGTAGGAGGTGAACGTAGCAGGAGGGGCAAAATGGTATACAATCGACAACAAAAGTTCTGTCCTACTAACCTTAACTGAGTGGGGGCTCATGGCCAATGAGGGATACGGGATACTCTTAACTGGCCAATCACATGCCATACTCAGTTCAGGCTAGTAGGACAGAATTTATGTTGACAATTGTATTTCGATATGAGTGAGACGGAATTTTCACGAGTGTGAAGTTGGCGGCCCGAGACGAAGCCAAGGGCTGCCAATCAGACGAGCTGAAAATTCCCGTCTCACATATGTCGTATTTTTTTACAGTGATGTTACATTCAACGAGTGGTCGAACTGGGCATTATTCGTTTACAAGCAGGGTTGGGCGTTCCAAGCAGTTCTAGGGTTTTTTACATTGTACGTAAAATACTCGTATTATACGTCGAAAATGTATAAAATGGAATATACAGTTTTTGATTTATTAGAGATTCTGAAATGAGATAAAATGTATTAAACTGTATTTTATGTATTTGAATGACTGCATGACCCAGAGTATTTGATGACGATCGAATCTCCAGGAGTAAAAGGGCTAAGTACAAGAGTTAAGTTTAAAAGCCAACCAGAAAGACCAAGTTGGTCACAAGAATCAAATGAGTCATCGGGGTCAAAAGATTAGAAGAGACAAAGGAGTCACAAGCGGATGGTCAAATTTCACGAGAGTCGAACCTTTTATACATTTAACAAATTGATGCAAAATACACGGTATAATACGTGTAAAATACTCAGTATTTTACGTAAAGTATTTTACTTGCCCAACCCTGTATTACAAGTAAACCAAAAGGCACTGTTCGGCACGAGGTGAACGTAGCAGCGGTGTCAATGAATATTATTCGATATGGCCTAAAAAAATTTTCTAGCTGATATGATTGCAGTCTTCGGCTTCGGCTGCAACCTCATATTCGCCAGAAAAGTTTTTTTTAGGCATTATGTCGAAATACACTATTTCTAATCTGGCTGCAACCGAAGAGGGAAAGGAAAATCGCAGGGAGTCCCAGACAAGAATCCAAGAACTCGTAGGTAAAGTGTCGTAGCTGAACCGTCAGTGTCGTAGCAATTACGAATTGAAAGGAAATCCTGTTACTGGAGACCCTCCCCGTTTCCAGATTACGGGTTATATGCAGTAGTACAATATAATTGAAATGAAAATACAATATAGATTGAAATCTTTCGCAACTTCAGTTGTTGAACGATTCAAAGGATGAACCGTGGAAAGTGATAGTGATCAACGACAAGTTAGTAGGGATGGGGAATGTCCGTCATTTTTCCTTTTGGACAGGTTAGACGTAAATGACCGGTTCCTGACAGTTTTCTGACTCTGACCTAATTTTGTATGCAAAATGACCGTCATTGTTCAGCTGCGTCACACACGAGCCAAAATAACCAAAAATCTTCTATACAGTTGCAAATTGACGATCATTTTTATTTCGGTCATTTTTTAACTTACTGAGTCGGACTCAGTAGTAGTTTTTCCGTACTGCTCTTCACTTTTCCTCGTCCAGGGATTGGTATTAGCCCTTTCCCAAACTCGTAAAAGTGTAAATCACTACAAGAAAAATGTCGTTCACGACTAGTGCCATGGGGTTTTTTTACTCGCGTGGTTGGCCAGTCCTTGCTTGCGGCTCGGACGCTAACCCCACGCGAAGCAAAAAACTCCATGGCACTCGTCCTGAAATATACTATTTCTAGTGGAGTAGGCAGAACGATAGGCGGAAAAAATAGACCACGAAAAAATAGCCCACACACCCAAAACGTGTTAAAACTTACCCACTCTAAAAATGTTCCTTGGTCTATTTTTTATTCATTCCCTTGGTCTATTTTTTCCATGGTCTTTTTTTCCCGGGATTCCAGTACCAGTTTAAGGGCGCCACCGTTCCCCCTTGCAGTGAAAATTGACCCTACTCTGGTCACCAAACGCGACCCTGCAACTCTGGTCACCTCCGCGGGGATTCACCGCCGTGTTATTTAGGCTTTAGGGTTGCTGAATTCGCTCTTCACTGCCCGGACGCGTTTAGCGAGTTTCCGGCAACGTCGCACAACGGACAATTTCATTTAACATGGGAAAAAAAATCATCTGTTCGAAAAAATTTATTTTCTTTAGAAATTTCGGGCAATATTTTGTTCTAAAAACTACGATAATTCTTTAGACACATCAATTGACAAAATTCAATTTTTTGAATTTTTTTGGTTAGCCAGTCAATTGTAATTAAAGGATAACGACGGGGGCGGGGTTTTCCTCATATGGTTACCAATCTAGGGTTAATCTATTGTTTTAGAAGACCTGCTGCGCCGACACTGACATTGCGATTCCCACTATAGTGTGTGGGCTACGACTCGCCAAGCGGCTACAGAGAGGGGGGGGGGCGTCTAGTCCTCTCAGAGGAAATACGTACATAAAATTTTGATACTTTAAATTTGATAAACTTGCGGTTTATTTACCTCTGCTTTACTAATTGCTGAGAAATTGGGGCTGAGGTAGTACTTTATCCCTTCGGCACTCCCTGGGAGGGTAATACCACGGATTAGGAGGATGATTAACACTGCGTAGGGAAATAGCGCTGTGAACCAAACAACCTGAAAAGAAAAATTTTTTGCTTTTGCTTGCAATTTTTCTGTCACGAAAACATCATTAATGGGACGTATTGATGAAGAATCTTTTAAATTCTTCATATTGTTGGTTCAATACTGTTCTATTTTTATTGAATTTTCTCATTTCTTGTTCAATTTTCACATTATTCACTCATCATAATTTGATCCCTTGTTACCATACTGAGGACAACAACTTTCCAATGTGAACAACAGAGCGTCGAGAAATTATTAATTGTCTCCAATCATGTGGGAGTAACTGAAGGTGCGGAGGAGTTTATCCAACTTGTACAATATGTTGTTTGCATAAACCAATATTGTAAATGATTGTATTGTTGTTCGAAAGATGATTCGTATTTTCCAGTATTGTCATGTCCTTTGTAGGATAAAATGTTCAGAAAAATTTTCGATTTTTTTGGCATCCATTGATCAATCAGAAAATATATATATTGGAATTTATATTACCTTTCCAGATGTTGAAATTCCTTTCCAAAGTGAAAAATAGCAGATTAGATAAACAATTAATAGACACAGGGCAATATCCCACTTGACAATCCCAAGGTCATGCAATCCTGCACTTTCGTGAAGCTCCAAAATTGCCCGGCTAAATATAAAAACAAACATAAAGAATTAAGGCATGATTTACATTATTGAGAGTGTTATATTGCAATTATATATGGGCCATTCCACCAAATCTCACAGGCGAAGAAATTTTCCAAGTTTTTGCTGTTCTGTGCATTATTCTTGTACAGAAAATGATATTTCTCGATCCAGCATGACAATTTGAATTTGTTTATCACTTTTTTTTTCAAATCGGTTCATTTCTTCGGAAAATTTGTAATCAAAATTGTATTACCGAATTTACTAATGGATCATTCAGCCACATTTAATTTTTCTCTAAACACTGATAGAATGATTCATTTATTCCAAACGAGATTCGTTAACTATTAACGAATGGAAGAGTTGAATATGACCAAATATTTGTTAATAGTTAACAAATGGTTCACTTGAAAGGTGAAAGGCGATTCACACAAGGCTCTTCAAATATGCATTTGGTTACTGTTAACGAATGAACATTTGGTGAGGCCGAATAGACCGTAGTCTCCAACTAAATCCATTCGTTAACAATAACTAATCCTTTGTATCAGTGAGGCTTCTCCTGAATTCTCTATAATTGTAGGAAATTTGGATCATTGTTGTCAGGTAGACTCAAAAGTTATGACCGAAATTTGAATAATTTCGGGTGCTTCATTTTTGAGATATGCATCGATAACTGAAAAATTCAATTTTTCAATTTTCACCGATGAATATCTCGGAATTGAAGAGGTCCAAGTCCTTGAAATTTTGATCATGGTTTTTTAATGAACTCAACAACAGATGATTCAACACAAGTATAGAGAATGAAGGAGTAAACGTTTAAACAGAGTATTTTTTTTATTCATATTTCTTTCCTACTACCATTACGGTTTTATAGGCTCCCCATTCGTTTGCCTTGCCTCTCCCACTTCTCTCTTCTGATTTTTTTATCTGCGTTACCATGGGCTTACTCTTAACTGTACCCCATTCGGGCTAGGGCTGCACGGGAAACCATGGAAAACCCCAGGCGTACAGCCAGCCGATTGTGTAGAGCCCTAATGTATCCTTCTGTCACACTGACTAGAGGGGCACATTAGACCACTACACCATGCCTAACTTCTGAAATTTTTGGGCGAGGATGTTCCTAAGCGGTCACCCATCCAGGTTCTAACCGCGCTAAACGCAGCTGCACTCGGATGTCCGCTGGAGCAACACCTAACTCACCCAACCATTACCCGAGTCGAAAAATTGGTCGTTCCGAATCTTCCCTGTATCTTCCAAGGCGACGATTTCTTTTGTGTTCGGATTTTTGTTCCCGTTTTTCAGCAACGACTTTAGTCTTCCATGTCTTCACCACTTTTTGGGAACAACAGAAATCTTCCATGTATAGTTGGGTATTGTTCGACCCCGCCTTGCCACGGAAGACAGGACGACAAAGCGAATATTTGCAACGACTAACCAATCGGAACGACAAGAGTCGTCGAGTTTAGGGTCTATCAAGCAGGTAAAAAGATCGGGGATTAATAAAATCATAAAATTTTTATGACTGAACTGAAAATATTCACATGAAGACTGGTATCGTTGTGTTATCGTCAAAGTATTCGGAAGTTTTGAGACTTAGAAAAATTTTCGTGTCAAGGGAACTTAGAAAAATTTCTTCACATAATTGAACTTAGAAAAATTTGACTTTTTAGTGGAACTTAGAGACGTTTCTTACGAGCGAAATTCGCCCAAATATATTCAAAGGATCGTATATTGAAAAATAAGATTTTAATTACATAATTATAGATTAAAATTCGGTTAAAATTTCATTTCTTTTGCATGTCTATGGTCGAATGATTTTCATTTCATTTTTCTTTCATCAATTGATGCATCGGATTGTTACAAATAGAATAACTAGAAAATATTTAATTCGCCTCGAAACATAGAATGATATTCCTGATGTAGGATATACGAACAATTTCAAGTGGACTGAATAAAAAATTGATTGGTTTTATTGCTTTCAAGCCATACCGGCCTGACTCGGACGGACAGGGGACATCGTGTTCGGCACATAAAAAAATGGTACTTGGAGACATAGCGGTACCTCATTGTTTTTGGGGAATTCCCCTTTTTTATTGAAAAGGGATGGTAAAATAAGGGGTGGAGGGAACCGCTTTGGTACATTTCTTTTGCAACTAAATATACTTTTCGACCTAGAATATAGCAAGGAAGGGATATTTTCCAGTTCAGTTTGTCGATGACCGTTGGAAGACACGTATCATTTCTCTTCATTTTTAATTATTTTTCAAAGTTTTCCTGAGTGTTGTATGCAATGTTTGCAATTGTTTTTTGAAAACATAAAGAAAGTGATGTGGTACCATTATCTACAGGAAAGATTGCCGTGAGAATGCCGATACGAAATCGAAAATCTACAGCGTCAAATTTCTCAAAAGGAGGTAAGTGTGAATATTAATTGATTTTTCAATACGCGTTTCCATCTATAAAAATACTACGGTTAAATGACTCGATTAAATTATAAAATTAAGGGGAGACCACTATGAGTTTTAAAAGTCGCGGACTATTGGAATGAGATTTCTTATACATTGAAGATCCATTATATATGTCTAAAAACGAATACTTAGTGCAGGAAATTAATTGTTTATTGTTCGTTTGTCTCGCAGACGCTTAAAATGTTAAAAATAGTCCAGGGCCTCCGATTTTTGAGATATAGAGATTTTATTTTTCAAAGTTTACCAAAAATGTGTGCAAATAACAATCACGAGTTATTTTTATGCAATTCGACTCCTACACAGCTAATTTTGTTTTCTTCAACATAAAAATTTGCGCCATTCACGAAAAAATAAGCAGAAAAATTATCCTTAAAATATTTTAAATATACTCTCGATTCTTTCAGAAACATTTTCCGGGCCATTTTACATGGATGGTACCATTTTTTATTAAAAAAAAAACGAAATTATCTAGGTAGGAGTCGAATTAAAAAAAACTAACTGGTAATTGTTATTGCACACATTTTTTTCAAACATTTTGAAAACAAAACCTCTATAGCTCAAAAATTGGAGGCCCCGGCCTATTTTTAATCACTCAATCATCTGCGACTTTTAAAACTCATAGTAGTCTCCCTTTAATTGATAATTCAACGTCTTTTCTCGAAGAATTTTGAAAGAAAAAAGTGAATCATTTTTTTTCAGAATTATGTGAAAAATTACAAAAAAGTGGGGTGTTTCGACCAGTGCTAATTTAATCGCCTCCGAAGATGAAGCACAGACTCCAGAAGTTCTACTGGCGTATCAAAAAGTACGGGTGATCAATACGGGAATAAAAAGGAATACTTTTAGAGTCAGATCATCAAATAGATTCCGAGATAATGAGAATTCAATCACTTTTTCCGCAGAATTCAAATCCAAAACACTTTGAATCGAATGGGGAAAGCGTCGTTGGTGCCCTCCAACGCCCGGATACCACGGAAGCTTCAACAAATTTTGTCAATATGTGCAGTCGCGGACTTAAGTTCGTGAACGCCTGCACTTGCATCCAATGTGTTTTGTTCATGAACTTTAGTACCCGACTGTATATGATAGTTCTATGCAACTTCAATGAGTGAAATGATTTCTCAAACATATATAATATAGTTATAATATAATTAAATATATATAATATAATTAAATGTTAAAATGTATAATCGTTTTTTGCAACATCGATAAATCTATAGTTTTGTAGTTCCAAAATAAATCGAATATTTTTAATTTGTTTCAATGTTTTATAAAAACAAAAAATGGTACAACCCCTCCCTTCCTCTCCCCCCTGCGCACCGCGCCGGAACCTACGGTACCTAGCCATAAAATTTAGACAAGGACAGACATACTGAACGATACCCCAAAAATGAAGACTAGAGCGACCAAAGGAAGATTGGTGTCGCTCCAACCGTCATAAATGGGAACGATTCTTGTCTTCCTCAAATCTTCCTTGGTCTTCATGAGTCCTATAACTACAACTATCGGAGCGATATTTGAACGACTCTTGTCGTCCTCATTTTTAGGGTCATCGAGGATGAGACGACTATAGTCTTCCCTGTGTCTTCCTATGTCGTTAAGGATTTATTGAAAAATCGGAGCGACTTGGAAGACACGAGGAAGATTCGGAACGATCAATTTTTCGATTCGGGTACGGTCGGCTCTTTAAACAGAATATTTTTAACATTTTATGCTCAACGCTTCTCAACGTTGTCACTATCATAAATTAACATTGAAATCATGAAAAATGATTCTTCGAATTATTATTAAAATCAGGGCCTATGGCTGAATCGTATGTACCGTCAGTGAGCTGGTTATGGAACCGGTATCAGTTATGGAATCAGCGTTACATTTAGCCGAAAATCCATGTGACATTATATATTCACTACGATAAACAAAGTTGAATGGAAACTATGGACTGTATACTTTCTCTGGAACCAATACGGTTCCATAACTGGGCTCTGTTTCTTAAAGGGTAATGTTAACGCTTGCATGTGTTGAATTTTAGAGTCGTCCTCGTGTGTATAGTTATTCATTTTCGGAAACCAAAAAATTTCAATCATTCCATTACTATATTGCGCAGTGCCTGAAGTTTTCTGGTTTTCAAAAATTAACAACTATACACACGAGGACGACTCTAAAATTCAACACATGCAAGGGATACCGTTGCCGCTTAAGGGTTCCGTGGCTGGGTTACTGACAGCAAGCAGTAGGATTTTTCTCCTCAAAATTTAAGCCAATAGAAGTGCACTATTCGACGTCCCGTGGTACAACCTACATGGTTTTCAACTGATAATTTTCTGATAATTTCATCTGGTAATTGCTATAAAAAACAAAAGATCATTCAAGCGAGTGAATCCCTTATCGAAACAGAAAGATCGATTTTGTCTCATGGTGCAATTCGCTTGGTCGAAATTTCGATGAAAAAGTTCTGTCCCCAAATGCCACTTGACCTTCTAAATTAATCGGGTATTACATATGTCAATTTTGCAATAGGACTTTCATCACAAATTGTTTGATTTTAGTTTTTAATATTAAATTTTCCAAAAAAAGATAGTGACAGCAGAAATAGGCAGTAATATTAGATTTCGACAATATTAAAAAGGATTTATCTCCTTATATTGTTCAAAGTTTAACTATATTTCACAAATTTAAGATTACTAAAAATAATCAGTAGTAATACCACGAGACCTCTAAAATTATCGGATATTTCCCGATTGTTTTATTGCGTAGCAACGAGAGGGAGAAGTTTTGCAGATTAAAATCGACAATTTAACCAGATTGAACGGATTTTTGTGCAAAATTTATCCCGATCGTTGATACGCAGGAAAACATCAGGGAAATGTTCGATTAATTTTGGAGGTCGAGTGGTATTCGACGGATTATTTTTGGTAATCGGATCCTTTCCAAACCGACTCATTTTGACTTTCTTCATGACTTTCTTTCACTCCACAGGATAATATTTGACAGTTATTTGGTTAGAGAAACAATTGCAGAGCTAAAGGGAAATTATCAAAAGCTAGGGGGAAATAACCGCTGTAATTTTAATTGGGAAGTACTTCATATTATTGAATACTGAACTCTGATTGGCCCAGGGCAGGCCAGATCCGATTACCAAAAATAATCCGAGAAATACCCCTCGAGCGTCAAAATTGATCGGGTATTTCCCTCAAGCTTCCCTACAAACAAGCGATCGTACCAAGTTTTGCAGAAAAATGTTTTCCAGCACCCGATGCATTATCGGAAGGTCCCGGGTTCAAACCCGGACCCGGTCTGGACTATCCATTTTTTTCAGTAAAAATTTTCTGGTTATTCATATTGAGAATAACCCGGTTCCCCTGCTACCTCATCCAAATCCCACCCAATCATTTCTGATGACTCAGAGTACAGTCACAAAGATGTGGAACGCTATATAAATTCCCTTCTTTAATCATGAAAAAAAAGTTCTCGCGTAAGCGCTCGGGATTTTTTAACCTCCAAAACTTGACACCCTCATTTGTTTGCAACGAAACTATTGGGAAATACCCGATAATTTTGAAGCTCTTGGGGCATTACGACTGAAAATTTTAAGGCCGGATTCGTGTAGAATATAGGATATTATGTCTAATATATGTGGACGAGATATTCACATATATGGGCCCACTTTGTCGATTATGGTTACCGAAATATTCACGTTTTCGTTTCTGCAACTCCCATTTTAGGTGTTTCGTTTTTATTTCTCCGGGGGAACAGACGGAAAGAGAGTATCATTGTTCTTGCGCCTTGATTCAATCCCTGAACGGCGTGTATTAGAACATTTATGACATATTATTCTTTTTTATTTGACTGACTGATTTTTTCCCCATCATTTGCGAATGTCAAATTATTGTTTTCATCATGTTGTGACGAAAAATGAACTTTTCGGCACGCTCCGCGTGCCTAAAAGTCCAATTTCCGCCACATTGTGATGAAACATATTGTTCGTAACTCGTGAAAAAATGTTTTTTGCACTCGTTACGAAATATACTATATCGAATGTTTCACGGATCATTCCTATGGGTATTTTGAGTCGGTAAACCTGCGGAGTATTTTCTCTCTCTCATTGTCAGTTCTATGGTCTAACCTATTACCTCCCCCATGATGTTATTCTAGTGATTATATTGGCATTCGAATTGCACGGTGAAGGCGTGATTGCCACACGTAAGCCTCAATGGAGGGAATTTGCTCCGAAACTCATAATTTCCGGTAGCATTTTTTGTAATACCTGCCTCGAAAGTTTACTTTTCGAAACCGCTTAGTGTGTGTAAAGCGGTTGTTTTAAGCACAATGTGCGTAGAGTTCAGAGAACGTGCGTAAAGTGATCTCTCATGCGTAAAGCTTCGCTTCCGAACAGTGAACTCGGCAGGTATTACAAAAAATAGGATGTGTTACGCGTGCGTACGAAAAAGTGGTTCGTTATGCACTTGGAACACAATATGGGGTATTCCATGTGAACTCACCCAGGTTAAAACCCTCACCATCGCCAATCATATTGCCGATTTTTCCTGTGGTTGTATATGGAAAAATATGACTTTTCAAATTTTGTCAGATTTTTGAGGCATCCTGTGGGCAGCCATGTTTTTTTGCAAGTTTTATCTTTAAATGCCTGTAACTTCCGTAAAAATCAACCGATTTGAGTTTTTTTTTACAAAATGTGGGTCTTCGACTACACTTTCCATATAAAAATATGCCAATTTTTTTCAATTCGTTCTTCCATCGATTTCCTCAGAAAAACCTCAAAAAACTTCAAAAAATGAGTCGTTTTTAAAGTTGGACCCTTTTTATATTTTTCAAAAAATTTCAGTGAATATATTGGACTAAAATAAAATTTTTCACCAAAAGCCAAAGCCTAAAGGAAAGGGGTCTATTAGAACACACCACTCGGAAAGATTTATTGTTAACGAATTTTCAAAAAATCATCAAATTGTTCCTGATTCGAATATAATGCAGTGATTTTTCAGGCAGTCAATTCAAATAATTCTTCTGCGTTCAAATGCGAAAAGAATTTTGAAATTTTTGAAATTTCTCATCCCGGATTCATATATTCAAATTGGAAATGACGGCCATGAAATGGGAAACCCACTTTGGCGTTTGGTGAAAAATTTTGTTTTGGTTCAATATATTCACTGAAATTTTTTGAAAAATATGAAAAGGGTCCAACTTTAAAAACGTCTCGTTTTTTGAAGTTTTTTGAGGTTTTTCTGAGGAAATCGATGGAAGAACGAATTGAAAAAAATTAGCATATTTTTATATGGAAAGTGTGTTCGAAGACGCACATTTTGTAAAAAAAAATCAAATCGGTAGATTTTTACGGAAGTTGCAGGCATTTTAAGATAAAACTTGCAAAAAAACATAGCTGTCCACAGGATGCCTTAAAAAACCTGAAAAAATTTGACAAGTCAGATTTTTCCATATACAACCACAGGAAAAATCGGCAATATGATTGGCCATGGTGAGGGTTTTGACCTGGGTGAGTTCACATGGAATACCCCATATACTATTTTCGAATAACTTTCTTACGAAATGTAGAACAATTCCTGAACCTAGGCGTACTTTCAAGAAAGGTTTGATTTATCTGTCATGAGTTTCTTTTCAATGGTTAAATTTTTTTTGGGAGTTATTAGAAAAGTTCCCTGATTGAGAGTGAAGTAATCTCGGTTTTATAGCTGGAGGGTTTACTAAAATATTCAAAAAATTTTTTTAACGCCGAGATCTAGAAAACGAACGAAAAAATTCAATGATGCAGCATACTCACATATTTCTCCCATGATTTTCATTATTTTTACTTGTTACACGAAACACCTTAACCCTCGATCCCTCGCGCGAGGCCAATAGCTTTCATCCGTCGCGCGGTTAGCGCAGCGCCACTGCGTTAAATCGAGCGCACTGTTGCCACGTTGATACTTACTGCTATACGCGTATTTTAAGTGTGGTAGTGAATGTAGCAACACTGTCGCTCGAGCGGTCGACAGGGACTCACTCGGACCGGCCGGCGCGGCGCCACTTTATTGTCCGATCGACGTTTCTTTTTTTTAGCTCAATAAATTTCCCGAGAAAAAAACGGACAATGCCAACGCTTACTAAAAGGATTGAACTAGGAACTCTGATTTTTTCTGAATGTTTAAGCGTCGAGAAACCCGCTAAAATATAAAAAAAAGAGCGGCGCCGCGCTCATTGAGCGAGTGATCGAGGGTTAAACTAAGTTTATAATAATTTCTTCGATTTTCTCTAGACACGTCATTTTTCACGAGATTGAGCTTATGTTGCGCTTAAATTGTGCAGAATGTTATCAAAATTATCGGAGTATTCATAACTGTATATCGACAAAGTGAGCCTTTTTCATGCGGACGTCCACATATATTTATAATGAATTTTGTTTTTCTAATGTGTACGAACTTGAAATACTCTTGTGCGGCACTAGTATATCTTGTCCTGTTATCTCCCTCTCCATCTTCTCCAGTATTGCTTAGAATAGGGGCGAGCGTCTCGTAATTCGTGAAATTGTCATCAGGATTCATACTGAGATAAGGTATAAAACTTCGTCGTGTCACGTTCACATCGAACTCTCGGCAGAGTGGCGTGTTCCAAGTATTCCCACATGTCGTCCATGGAAGCATGCTGGTAAATGATGCGAAGAAATAGCGAAGAGCCCATGCGATTATCACGTTGTAATAAAAATCAACGTAGAAGGCGATTAAAACTACCGCATAACCAATTCCTTGAACAAACCCAACATTTCATTCAACAATTAATGAAAATAATATGATAGAATTCTTCCTACACTGACTTTGCGAGAAAAAAAGCATGTTCTTGAACATTTTTTTAAACAAGATCTATGCGCGCGCTGATCTATTCATTTGTTGAAATGAAGAAATGGAATTCATTAAATTTCATTTTCTCATGAATACTTTATAAATATTGATAATGAATCAAAGAGAATTCGACTAATGATTGAAGTGAATAGCGAAGTAGAGTAAAAGAATCTATAAAGAATTTTTCATTTTCAATTAATTATCTTCAATTTTTTAAAATAATCGGTCTCCATAAAAGGACAGAATTTATTGATTTTACCGATGATATATATACATGTATATATGACGTGAAAGAAATTTACCACTGAAGAAGTTGAAATTATGTCACTGAAGAATTTGAAAATGCCGCGTGTTTTTTTTGTGAATAACTTCGTGTCACATATTGACTAATTAGAATTAAGGATTAGCGTCAACAGAGGATTAGCGTCGGTCAGGTAGTTTCGAGATATTTCGATATAAACCAACTTCACGTTTCTTTCATCTTTAGTAAGTAGCACCAAAAGAATCGCAAGGGAATGAACAAGACATGAATTGTTTCATTTGAACATGGAAAAGTTTCAAATATGAATAATCCTTCTTCTTTCAACAACGCAATATTTGGCTTGGAAAGAGCATCATTCACGTGAGATAAGACCTTTTTAGGGTAAAAATATCTCATTAGGTGAAGTTCACCCAGAAATATTGTGTTCGTAAGTTACAAAATTATCATAATATCAGCATTATTATTCTATTTGCGATGCAATTTCTTATTTTTGAATATTAAAAGCTGAAACGACAAACTACTCTTTCTTGTTTCGAATAAAACGAATATTTTTCAGGAGTCAAAATTGCACACACAGAGAAAAAAATGTAAATTCAAAATTTTCCTTCTAGATTCTAGAATCTGCAGTTTAGAATTTGCAGTTTGTCTAAAATTTAGAAAAAAATTAATTTTAGAAAATAAATAAATAAAATTAATCAACCAAAAAATGATGGTTTTAAGGCAAAAATATTCTGGAATCTATCGAATTAGGGGATTAAGTTCCCCTCATTAGCACGTTTTCAAAATGAAAGGCATTTTGGAAATTTTGAATTGAACCTTTGAAAAAATGGAAAAAATTGTCCTAAATGGTTGGGCTCAGATAATTCAGCATAATCTGAAACGTGCAGATTCACTATCCCCTAAAGTGGACAATTCCCGAGTCGAATATCTGGACCTTATTCCCCCCTATTACCTCCTTGAGATATTTTTTCCTCCTTTCTTCATCCTATACATCCTGAATAACTCCTTATATGATCCTGCCTCATCCTAAAGGCTTAAAAACCCTTCTCAACTGATACTTTTTTCCCCCTTCTCCTCCTGTCGAATGAAAAGGAATCATAAGTCCCCTGAATTAACCCTGATAGCCAGGATGATTGAGTAGCTCACTATTTTGTTCATTTCTGTTTGCGGTGAAAATTACCGAAATTCCCATCCTTATTTTTGACTGTCGTTTCTGACCGTTATTTTTTACCCTTATATATGACCCTTGAGTATGACCTTAATTTTCACCTGTATTAAATATATAAAAAAAATACCTCGAAAGGGTTTGTAGGTTCTTTCCAGGAGGGATGGAGTGGAAAACATTTTAGGGGGTGCAGGCGATAAGTAGGTTTAACACACCTCCTGTTTTCCTCCTGAACCCTCGGAATTTGGAAATAACTTGCACGTTCAGGCGGAAACCAGGGGGTCTTTCTGAATGTAAATACACCCTAACTTCATCCTGGTCCTCCTACTCATGATAGGTGTTCAAGGGGGAATTCAGGTCCTAATATTCGACTCGGGTTCTTCTTAGAAAGAAAAATATTTTAAAAAATGCAAGTTTAGAATCGAAGTTTCTAGAATCTAGTAAAAAGAGACATGGAATTTATCGGAAGAATTTCAGATTCAAGAAGAAAATGGATGAAAATAAAAATAATACGGATCATTTCTAGAATTTTTTCTATAAAAATAATTCGATATGATGGTTGAGTTTATCATTCTTCGAAGGATAAATTCAACCATGATGATCAATTTCATGATTTTTTTTCTCTGTGCAGAACATGAAAAATTTTTGGTATAATTAACTCTTTTCGGACAAGAATTTTTCATCCTAGGATTCTTTTCCAATATTCAGCAATGCTAAATCTCTTGTCTTTTTTGGTTTAAACAAGACTTGTTTGGGGCCATTCACGTATTATGTCACACTTTTTTTTTAATTTTTAGACTCCCTCAGTCACAAACCGCCATAAACATGGACCCCCCCTTGCATATTATGTTTCCTCTGTTATGGCGATTTTTTTAGTTTCTTCATAAAATTGAATTTGAAGAATATGAACGAGAAAGAACAAAGGATTAAGTGAACAATCAAATCTTTAAGGTGATGCTCTTTGAACATTTCGTAATTAACATTGTTGTATACTGGTCAGTAGCTTCTTATTATTAACGTTATCAAACAGTATATTGTGTTACTAGTGCGTAAAGTTCCACTTTTTCACACGCACGTGTAACACATCCTTTTTTTTGTGGTACCTGCCGAGTTCACTGTTCGGAACGGTAGTGGGAGTAATGTGGTTGTTTTTGTGCATGAGTGCGTAAAGTTCAAGAGCGAACTTTACGCACGCCGTGCGGAAAACAACCGCTTTACGCACACTAAACCGGTTCGAAAAGTGCACTTTTGAGGCAAGTATTACAAAAAAATTATAACATTCATCATATTTTCAGTCAAGAATCGCAATGATTATTTTATTAAATAGTCACTCTGATGGTGGCCACAGGAGACTCCCGTTATAGTTGCACACCTTGAAAATAGTAGATTTCATCATTCGGTCCATAAAGTATTTTCTGACGAATGTGGGTTTACAATCACGTCCGACAGGAAATACTTTGGGAACCGTATGATGTAATAGTGCATTTCGACATAAAGCGTAAAAAAAATTTCTGGTGAATGTGAGGTTGCAGCCCGAGCCCAAGACGGGTCTCAAAAAAGAAATTATAAAAAATTATTGATTACGTATATTCGAATTTAATCGATGGGCCTTTTGTGTTGAGGTACCATTGACCACCAAACAATTTGCAATCATCCTCTGAAAAAAAAAGTATATTAACTTTAAAAAATAGTTTCTACATTGTAGAAACTCCTGTTGTTAAGCTTTATTGTTGGTGGGACCATAAAAACTAACGAATTTGGGGATGGTTTTTAAAAACAAATATTTTCTAAAACCAATGCTGAATTTTTTTCAATTAAAAAAAAAACATTTCGATTGAACTAAAAAATTTCGGCCGAGGTATTTAAAGGGCGTAAGTGCCGCATGCAGGGAGGAGTGGTCAAATATCGGGAGCTTCAGATGTCAGGAGGGGAGTCTTATATATGGAGATTTTTTCAGGGGGTCAAAAATTGGTGGAGGGGGGGGTCAATTTTTTGGTTGTGAATTTTCAATGTACAAGCCCCCCCTCTCCCCAATTTTACCGTAAAAATTGGGAGGTTCTCAATTTTTGGGTTGTGAATTCTCGATGCACAACCTCCTCACCCTCCAATTTTTTCAGTAAAAATTCGCTATCTCCCTTAGTTTTGGAGATATCCTTGAAAAACTCGCCAACGAACTAAATCGTCTAAGGGAGGAGGGGGGGGGGGATTCTGAATTCTCGGTATACAAAACCCTCTTTCACCAAATACTTCTCTTTACAGAACCCTTCTCTTTACAATACCTCCCTCTTTGCAAAACCCCCTCTTTCCAACCCTCCCCTCCCATAAATATGACTCCCCATATGAATCCACCCTTTTACATCCTACCCCACACCTAGACCCCCTTGATCAACCACCATTCAATAAAATCTGCCCGTATATGAGACCCCCCCCCCC